TATGTACTTATATAGTTTGTCAATGTGATGGTTTCTAATTTCATCCCATTATGATCTGATAAAATGCAAAGATTATATCATTTTTGTTTTGTATTTGCTAAGAGCTGCTTTTTATGCCTGGTAATTTTTTATTGGATTCTTAACGTTGTGAATTTGACTTTATTGGGTGCTGGTTTTTTTTTTTTTAATTTATATAAATAAATAAATACTCACAAGCTAAATTACATCTAAGTTTTGTTAGGTGGATAAGAGCAGAACTTTTTGGACAAATAATTACTGAGTACTACTATTGCATTACCAGTGTCCTTTTGAGTACAGTGTTATATGATTACAAGATTTTTCAACTGTGACTAGTAGGAACACAAACTATTCTTGACCTTATGTGACCACCATGGATTTTATCTTCAGTACTGGGTCATTTTCTTACCTGTGTACATTGGTTAATATTCAGCTGAAGACTCAAAGGGATCCCTTTGCATATCTGTCTGTGTCTCTCTCCCTCCCTCTCTCTCTCTTTCTTTCTCTCTGCAAATCTCTCCCTTCCAGTCTTGTACCCTGCAAATCTACCCTTGACCTCCTGAACCTCAGCTGCATCTTAACCCAAGAAGACTACTGGGCTCCACCTGGGTTCCTCCTGATGTGTTACTACCTGGAAAACTCTCTCCAGACAGTGAGATAGGGCTCACCTTGTTTGTTTCTCTGTCCTGCATTACCTGATGCTCAATATCTGAAAAATCACTGTTTCACATAGTTTATCTGGACTTTGTAGTTCTTTCAGGTAGTCTGGTCTTGGCTGATAGAGATGGTTTTGCCACCATCTTTAATTCTGAAAGCAGGAATAGGCATTGGTGAAATGAATACAGGTGAAATGAATACAGTCCAATGAAATAGGAAGTTTTCGATTTATTCTGTAGCATAAATCAAGTTAGGAGAAAAGGTATCACTTTTATTTTGGTGAGAAACAGCATATTTTTTCAGTGCCCTTCAGTTTTCTGGATATTGTTTTTAGAGAGAAAAAAAAAAACTCAACCAGCTTTGTTATAACATTACAGAGCCCAAAATAAGTTACATCTAATTCTTACTGACAGCTTTGTAGAAACCACTAGCAAAAAGAGAACTAAAATGAACATTACTCAGTAAGTCAAATTAGCATTCCTGAAATAGGATGACTATGGGGTTATATAATGCTATCAGTAGTGATGAGCTTTAATGGATGCCTTCAGTCATGTGATTTCTAAGTCACAAACCTGAGAGTCCCTTGCAGGCATATTTTAGAATTATATGATCACATGTTACATCAGTAGGAAGAGAACAAAGACCCTTTTAGAACCAACATCACTGTTCTCCTTGTTTGCATTATCTGTACCCTTAGTGCCAGTGACATTACTGGAGACAAAGTCCACCCAGGGCCACCCCCCTCCCTTTCCCAAGTCTCTCAGGATTTTTATTAGGAGGTTATTTCAAGTATTTCCCCAGAATTGAGAAATACAGGCCTTCTTCCATAAGAAATAGTCAGAGTCAGCCAAAGTCTATAGACAGGAGGACCCCCAGGGCTTGCTTTCTGCTGTGCAGATGTTGTGTGGGGAGATGGTTTGACTCGTTACTTTTTGCCATTCAGAATGTTTAGCTGAGCAGTCCTGTTCAGAGAGGGCCAGAGAGGGCATGACCTTGCCTGGCACCAACCTTTGTAATCTCATGGTTTGGTGTTTTTTATTTATTTGTTGTTTCTTTTTTAATGAGAGTTCCAGGCTAAGTGAAGCATGGAGAGGGTGTGATTTTGTTTTAGTCCAGTCACATCTTTTGGTACACCATGCTCCATATCTAAACACAGTGTTTATTTTTTTTTTTTATCTTTCCAATAAATTGCCTTTATTTGGGCCAGGGAATATTTAAGAAGAATGGTTAGAGTAGACACACTGAAATTATACATTTGTTTAACAAATCCATAGCCAAAAAACACAGGAATAACTGGTTTGCATTAGGAAATCAAACAAACCAAAAAGGATATGAACAATTTGCATAATTGTTGATTTGATTTTTGAATACTATATTTTAAATTCCCATTTGATGCAGAATAACCTTAGAACAATGTATTTGTCATGTAAATTGATTTTTATTTTTTTTGAAGTTGTTAATTCTCTCTTTTTTTAATATTTTATTTTTTTATTGGTTGTTCACAACATTACAAAGCTCTTGACATATCATATTTCATACATTAGATTGAAGTGGGTTATGAACTTCCAATTTTTACCCCAAATTCAGATTGCAGAATCACGTCAGTTACAAATCCACATTTTTACATAATGCCCTATTAGTAACTGTTGTATTCTGCTACCTTTCCTATCCCCTACTATCCCCCCTTCC